GGGCAGGGGCTCGGGGGCCAGGCCCGGCCTCATGCAGCTGCCGTTGAGCTCCTTGCTCTTAGCATGCGGGCCGGCGTTGCCCAGGGATTGCAGCGAGCACGCTGAGCGCTGGTAGTCACCCTCCAGGTGCGTGGCGGTCTGGAAGGGGGGCTGGGGAGCACCATCGTAGCCGAAGCCATTACTGCCAGGGTACGAGGAGTAGCCTCCGAAGAGTGCAGCCGTGGCGTTGTCGTAGTAGGTGGCTTTCTGCATCGCTGGGCGAAACCCGGGCAATGGGTGGCAACTTGAAAGGGCCTGATACCCTCACGACCGGACATTGGCACCCCCGGGGGTCACGTGAGGCGCCGGACCCCCCCTCCCCTTTCTGCCCCCCTCCTCCCGGGGTCTGTTCGGAGCCGCTGACCTGCGGGGTGAGAGAAGAGACACAAGGGGGAGAAGAGGACTGGGGCTCGAATCCATCTTAGGAACTGAAAAGGGAACTGACATCAATAGGGATTTTTCTTCTCCCCAACCCCAACATCTTCACAGCAGATGCTGAGGCCACTTCCTGACATGCAATGGATTTTTCTTATTTCAGCGCTTTAATTTTAAAGTCAAAGCCCACCAGTTTTCATTTCCACTTAAAAATAAGGACTGTACTTTGGGGACTGGCTAGGTATAGAATCTTACTACTTACTGCAAGAGTCATTGCTTTCTCTCCTGCCTGCACCTCTCCCTCTTCCTCCCTCTATCTCCCCCACCCCAACTCTGGGATAGGGTGGCTCAAGAAGGGGGAGACTTGGGAGACTCCCAAATAAAAGCATCATCAACATGCTCCTCTGAGCTGGGAGGCCTCCCCTCCCGTCCGTGCCTCCCTCCATGTCTTTCTAGGTCTCTCACCCAAGCAGAGTCTCGTGTGGAGGAAAAACAGATCTCGGAAAGAGACAGAAGAGGCAAGTTGAGCCGAGAGCCTTCTTGTGTAAGGAATCCTCTCCCTCCTCTCCCACCTCACAAAGACAGCAACATCGGCCTGACCTAGAAACTTCCTGAAGACTTTTAACCTCCTGAACCAGAGGAACTGAGCCTTTCCCATGTCCCTGCTGCAGGTATCACCATCTCCAGTCTAAGCCTTTGCTCAGCCAAGTCTGGGGACACCCCTCACACCCCCTGCAGCCAGCGGCTCCCATGGGGTCCCCCAAATGGAGCAGGATTGTTTCAATTCCCTGGTGGGGCTGGTTGATGCTGTGACCATTTGGCCCAGATCTCCACCACCCCCCCTCCATTTTTTTCAACCAGACTTAATTTTTTCCCACCCTTTTCTTGACAGTTTGTTTCCTTCGATTCCTTCAAAAGAAGAAAAGAAGAAAGGAACTGGATAACTGCTGGACTTTTCTACCAAGAGATGGGAAAAGGCTTTCCAAAAGAGAGAAAAAAATTCCCGAGGAAAAAAAGAAAGTCAACAAAGCAATCTGAACAATATTATTCTCTGGATTGGAAACAGGGTACCCCTGTTTACTAAAGTTCTCTGAGGCAAAAAAAAAAAAAAAAAAAAAAAAAAAATTTTTTTAAAAAAATT